CACTTTTCCTTCCTTCTCTTTCTCCATTGTTGACCCTACTCAGTGCTTCGAGGCTTCTGCACCTTTGCATATCCTTTTCTTCTCCTGCCTGCAGCCCTTGTGCACTGCCTCGCTACAGCCAGAGGCTGTGGGACTCCCATTGGTCTTGCTAGAGGCAGCCCAGCCCCAGCACTACCCCAGGACTGGTGAGATGGCGGGCACAGAGCCCTGAGTAGTGCTGAGCATCTCCTGCATTTTCTATGGCCTGGTTATGTGGTAATGCCACATGCCCTCAGCTCATCCCTTCTCTCTTCTCTTGCCCTCTGTTCTCCTCACCTCCCCTCTCTTCTCTTGTGTTTCGTGGGTCAGGATCTTCACCAAAAAGGCCCTGTGCATCTGATGGGTCAAGTGTTTGGTATCTGGAATGCCACACCAATGGTGCCTGCTAAGCCATATGCCATGCTCTGGACAAGGTCCTTCTTCTTCCCCTAGGATGTGGTAGTCAGACCATCTGGGAATTTTCCACCAGCTCTCTGGCAGTCTCTCCTTCCCATTTGGGCACAATAAAGTTTTCCTGCATCAAAGCTTTTTACTTTTCCCTTCTTCTGAATTTTAGTGCCTGGTAGCTGTTAAAGGCTGATGTTATCATCCCCATATTTTACCATGGAATATCATGCACGTGACCTTATCTAGGAAAGGAAAAGTAATTCCTAGTTTTGTCTGTTCCTGCTCCAGGCATTTGCTTTTCAGTTCGGTGAAAATTTTCCCTAATTGGTGAGAGGAGTTTTTTAATTGTAGAACTGTAGCGATGAATTGGTAGCAGGTCACTAGACTATAGATGCTTCTTCATATGTGCATACTAATGTATAAATACATGTGCAGGTATATATGTGGGCCATAATATCCTTTCCAACCCTAACTACTCTATGATTCTATATTAATGTATTAGTGGGTCTTGCCTTAGCTACTGTGAATGGCTTTCCAGAAGGACATGTGATGCTTCCCTCTCACTGAACAAAACTTTGTACTTTTATAAAATTGCTACCATATGACATTGAGGGAATTTATGACTACTTTGGGGTCAAAAATTAAACACAGATCATCTTTTTCTTAATTTTCCTCTAGACGACCCATCCCAGAACATTATTCTACCTCTTACTGTTGTATTTGTGAGTTCATTTAACTTCAGATTAGTGCCATTCACATTTCTTGGATTCACATTTTCTTTTGGAGAAGTAGTGACATGTTGGCAGTAAAGATAAAGTTAGGTGTGCTCTTCCCCCTTCTTTTACAGGTTTTGCTTACAGTACCACTACTCTGTGGTATTCTATATTTAGCATGGATTCACTCAAGAGCATGCCATCTCCTTGAACCTTACCATCACCTACTGGGGCTAGTCAGAGACTTTTTCCTCTTCTGTCACTTCTTTCTGATTACAGCCTGTGTTACACTAGATCTTTTCTCCATAGTCAGCAGCTACATGGCTTTGCACTGTATTACTTACTTTTGGGGAATAACATTACTGTTATTCCCATCAGTTAAGCCATCTTGTTTTTCCTGTCTTAAAGCCTGATTCCCTCCTGTTTAATGTCACTCAGCTTTGTGTTATCAGCAGATAGAACAGAACACTCCCAAATCATGTGCCAATATCATTAATGGAAATAAATACAGGTTTTCTGGGAGTTATCCTTGAGTAACCAATGTAGTAAATTCTCTCCATTCCTAAAACTCACATATAATGTGAGACATTGGTAGAAGTGTATCTCTATGTACTATTTTGCAATCAGACATGAGCTCACCCTGAACAGGCATCCAGCCCAAATAGAAGCTATGTAACCATGTCAGCTGGGTGCTAGTAACTCTCACCAATCTTGTTATCTTGGGCTAGGCACTTGATGTCTGACACAATACACATCTAATTGGGTGCTTGCTGGTACCTGTCTGGTACTACATTACTGAGAGAATCAGTGGAAAAAGTCAGCAGTCAGAGGTCAAGTGTTCAGCTGTGATCATGTATGATTTACACTGAACTATCTCTTACAGGCTCTGTGTTAGAGTAAGGATCCTGGTATGGAGCAGAAGAGAAACAGAGAGGAAACAAAGAGGAGTTCTCATCTCCTCAACATAAGAAGGACACGCAGCTGTTGGAACAAGTCCAGAGGAGGCCACATGGACTGTAGTTATAGGACAAGGTGTAATGGGTCCAAACAAAAACAGGAGAAGTTCAGGTTAGCTATAAGGAAGAAGTTCTTTACAGTGAGGGTGGTGAGGTGCTGGCACAAGTTGCCCAGAGAAGTTGCAAATGCTCCACACCTGGCAGTATTCAAGGCCAGGTTGGACAGAGCCTTGCACAACCTGGTCTAGTGTGAGGTGTCCCTGCCCATGGCAGGGGGTTGGATCTCTTAAGATCCAACCAAGTCCTTGCCAACCCAAACCATTCTATGATTCTATGAAAACAGGCATCCTTGTTTTGTAAAGCTGTATTTGTAAAGGAACTGCCCTGACCTGAACTAGATGGGAGGAAAGAGGGCTCTGCTCACCACAAGGGAGGCACCTGAGCCAAGGAGATGCAGGGCTGGTGTGGCAGGAACTTAGGAGGTTGGTTGCCGAGCTCCTGGGAATTCACAGCAGCAGTGTCCTTGCCTCAAGCCATGCGAGCATGGAGAGCAGCAGCAGGGACAAAGAACCATTTCTTGGTGCCCCAAAGGCAGGAGCCTTTTTTTTTTCACAGCTCAGCTGCCTGGGCTCTTCACAAATCTGAGATACTCATGGGTCAGGGCCTGGGCTCTCAGCTGGGTCCTGCAAGCTCCTGTCCATTCCCAGACATCCCTGCCACCTCTCCTGACCTTTCCCAAAAATCCCAGGGCCATGAGCTTAGGCAGTGTTGGGACAGGGAGGATGAAGCAGGAGAACCTTTCAGTGAATAACGTCTCTTTGATCAAAATATTCTCAGTAAATAGTTCCTAATCATTAAAATAAAATAATGTTTTCTTAAAAGTGAGATTTGTGAGTACTAGAGACTAATTTTCATTTCAACTTGTTACTGCTTATAGCACATAGCCATCTGACATATCCTGTTACATTTGGGGGGGAACAATGAAGTTACCTGTTCAAATCAAATTTGCTATTCCATGACACTGACATAGGGTTGAGCTCAAGAAATTGTACCTCCACATTTGGAGCTGTTCTTCAAAAGCATCTCAGTGAAATCCTCAGGTAAATCCTCTGTAATGTGTTACTTCCTATTCTTTTCACTTCACCCAAATGGCTTACACACTCAGCCAAAACTTTCCTGAGGCAATTGTTATCACAGCAGTGATTAACAAAAAAGAGGCAGTGCTTGATCTTTGCTCATCAGATGCCTATCTTAAAAATTGCTTCCTGTTATTTACCTTTCTCCTATTGTTCTTTTTCAGAACACGCTTTGTCAGAACTTCAGGCAACATTTTTTTTACTCTGTCTTTGATCACATTTTGATGATTTCTAGTACATCACCTGAGAAGATGTAAAATTAAAGGTATTCAAGCACTAAATTAGCTAGTGAAAAGAAAATTTGTGCTAACTACTGGAAGTCTGACAACTGGAATGGTTAGTGTAGAGGAGAACATATTTTTAGCTCAGTAGCAATGAAAGACCGGGCAGAGAGGATTTTTAGGAGCAGGATCATGTGTGGCTAGAGCTTCCAGGGCTGTGGGGTGTCCTCAAAGGCAGCTCTGCCTGGCTCTGTTGCCAGGGCTGGGAGACTGCTGTGGCTTGGCTGGCAGGGTCCCATGCCACAGCAGGGCCAGGGAACACTGCAGCCCAGGCTGGGCTGTGACAGAAAGGTGCAGAGGCAGGCATTGGATGCAGGCTTGTTTTATTGCAGTGGAGAAAGATATATCAGGCAGAGGCAGGCATGTTGTCCTCCCAGGCTTCAAGAGAGGTGTTCCTTCAGACTTCTCCCAGGAGGTGGCAGTTTCAGGGAGAAGCAGGCATCGTGTGGGATGATGGTGGAGTTACACAGTTAGCCACTGGCAAGGGCAAGGAAGAGGAGATGAACCAAAGAAGGAGATGAGAAGTGTAATTTATGGAGCTATTCTGACTCCACTGTTTTAAGTGGAAGTCTTTGATGCTCTGCCCGTTACTCAGGAGCTCAGCTGAGGATTGAAGCTATATCATGCATTTGCCAGTCTTTCCTTAGTCAGGGGATATTTCAGTAGGATTTAGCAGGGGCTGCAGCTGCCACGGCGGTACCTGAGCCAGACCCATAGGATCTACCATAACCATACAGGCCCCTGTAACCCAGAGAGCCCCCATAGCCATACAGACCACTGTAGCCCAGGGAGCCATAGCCCCCATAGCCATAGAGACCTCCATAGCCTCCCAGGCCACCATAGCCCCCAATGAAGGGTGCTCCAGAGGATCCCACAACTGAATCCTGGGGGAAAGAGCTGAGGATGGGGCCAGGCAAGGTGACGACCACTGGAGGTGGCTGGATCACAGTAGTGGTATCAGGGCACTGACGGACACATGGCTCATTGCAGCTGTCAGCGAGGGGCTGGGGGCGGGCAATGCTGCAGGCAGAGCTGGAGACCAGGTCGTAGCAAGACATCTCGTAGGGATAGAGGTCAATCTACAAAAGAGTTGATTTTACCATGTACAAGAATTATTTACATACATGAAAGTGCTATAGAGTTCACTGCCTTTTGTCAGACAGGAGTGCTTTGAAGTATACCAATTAACTGACGTCTATTAGAAACTAAATTTGACGTAGAACTGCAAAATTCTTTGCTCAGATGTTTTGGTGACTCAGGAGATCAGCAAGGACTGGAACTCCAAGAGTGGAATGTGTTGTTATGCTAGATTTCTTGGCTCTAGCTGTTCCTTCCCACTGATCTCCTTTGTGCTAAGACTTGTCAGAAAAAGGATTATAAGTCATTATCTACTCATTTTGCTCAGTAACTTGTTTGATGAGAACGTTACTGGAATTGCAAAGATTATTGTCCCTAGTTTCTGCACACTGAATAAGGGTATGGAGATATTTACAAGTAGCTTAACAACACAGTGTTTTGATTCTGGGCTTTGAACTTTCTTGAAAAAATTTTTACCCCAAACAAGTTCCCCCCATTGACACAAAAATCCCTGTCAGCTCCTTAAACTCCCTCCATGATTCCTCTTTCTCTTAAATACATTTCTTGGAGAGGAATTCCAACAGCTCTCAATTCCTCTGTGTGATACTCTATCTTAGCCAGTGCCTCATCTCTGGTAATATCCATGCCCAATTATCTTAAACTAATATAAAAGCACTGTGAGTGATCTGTAACAGAATAAACTGGAGATAATGGAAGTTCTGCTTCTCAGCTCAACATTTCCCTTTTGAACCATGAAGATTTAAACTTTTTCGAGTCATTTCCAGTTACCCATATAACCATATAGAGAAAAGGAATGCATATTGAGCTAGTCCCATCATTTCTTCAGCTGTTGGGAATGGCCCAATCATGAACTTAATATTCTGCCATATCAAGAAACTTCCAGTTTGCTTTACAATGAAATGCCAGCCCTGAAGACAGAGAAGAGCTGTACATAACACCTTTAATAATTTTTGTAAGATTTATCATTTCCACCTAAAATTTTACCCACTAGTTCTTAATGGAAGAGACCATCCTAGATTAAATTGTAGAGCAAATAACTATTCCTATAGCTATAAAGAGCAGATTCAGACTTACCCACTTAGATGAGAACGAGTAAAGAAAAGAGGCTGGAATAACCCTGAGTGGAGAGAGCTTTTATACAGTTCAGACTGCCTGAGGGATGAGAAGCTGGCTTCATGAAAGTGGATCTAATTAGTTGACACAGCACATTTTTTGTATTGATAGCTCCACAAAGTGATGAAATTGTTGCACTTTGTTTTTGTTTATGACTTGATTTCAATTATCATTAACATAACACACGCATTACATGACATGTGGTTCTTTCATCTAAAAGAATGATGGGTGAAACTGATGCATCTTTCATCCTAAAACATGATTCATGAAATTAATATCGGTTTTCTATTCTCTTTGGAGTTGCACCATGTAGTAAGCTGCTTATAGACGGATATTTTTCTTTTGCTGTCTTATATGAAAATGGTGCTCAGCCATTTATCAAAAAAAACCTATGGTGAGGTGTTTCTTTCAAAGTCTATTACAGAAGAATTTATCTTAAAGATAAAACACAGTCCATGATGTCTATGATTCTAAGATCATTAAATCCTCAGGAAGATGGGCAATATTTGTTTGCTTAGGATGATTTTGATTATTATTTTGATACAGTTCATATTGGAATCCATGCAGGCTTCTCAGTACTCTCTGAATCAAATTATATTGTGAGCATTCCCAGACATACAGTGGTAGATGTCCAAAACAGTCTCAGGTTTTATCTGACTCTTGAACTACAGCATAAAGCTGAATTTAGTTCTGAATGGAGAGATATTTATATTTTTAATGCTTAGGATTGAAAGATTGAAATAATAAAAGTGTACATTGAATTACTATCTTGGTCCTGGCCTGCAACTGACCTTGCAGCTAACCCCAACATTGATGGCATCTTTCAGTAGAGAGCAGTTAGGAGGTGGGAATCAGCTGGGAAAGGCAAATCCTGGCTTTTGCTGAGGTTTCTGTCTTTGTTTATGGCATTGTTGTAATACTGTATTATTATCATGGTTATCATAATCACCAATGTGGTTATCTTCAGACCACATATTATTTCTAAATTATGAGCTTTTCCAAATCTGAGCTGTAATACTGCAAAAAGCCATCTCAAAGTTTTATGGGAACATTCCAAGGGATTTTTCAAATACCTCATGAACCCTCATTACTAGCTTATACATACTGTGTCATAATAATATAAAATGTATATAAAGTAGGTGGATGCATACACCCCACTATTGAGAGATTATCACATTAAAATAGGTAAGTTAAGGTCATTTGGGTCTTTCCATAATCAGTTTATGCTTTACAACACTTTTTGGACCTTACTTTCTTTGACTTTAACAAAAAAGAAAGTAAATTTTATTTTTAAAGTGCACATTGGTCTAGAAACAGAGATTCGCTTATGTTCCCTGAACAACTAAGGAAAAAAAAAACAACCCAAAAAAACCCCCAAAAAACAAAAACAACAACAAAAAAAACCTACCACAAAAAAAAAAAAAAAACCAAACCAAAAAAACAACAAAACCCCCCAACGAACACCAAACCAAAGCAGTGTACAATGGAGCCTGTCTTCATTGTGTCAGGGCTATAGTCCTTTTCAGTACCCATGTCTTGTTAACTGGTGTACTTGCTTCTCTTACTCCTATGTTCCTACGTATGTCTCTCTAACACATAACAGTATGAGAAGAAAACACGATAAAATATAAAGGAAAGAAAGCCAAGCTCGATGAAACTACTCAGAAAAAATCAGTTTCCATAGACCTGAGGTTGCCAGCTGAAATATTTCTCTGTTCCCAAGACTGAAAGACAATTAGTAGAGAACCGTCCAAAAGCCATTACAAGATATTTGTGACTATTGTGTTTGCCTTGTACTGAATAGCTGGAGGTAGAAATGCTAGGACTGTAGAAGGAACATTCCCACCCTTGCTGTCTCCAGTCTTCATTTGAGATCCTAAAAGAAATTGCATTTTGTCTCCATGTATGCTGCTGATTACACCAAAAGACCTCTCACTGGTCAAAAGATATGACTGTCATACTAATTATGTAGGAATCTTAAGTCAGCTTAAATCCTCCCTTAATGTTAAAGAGAGCAATGGAATAATAAAATGTAATTCCACATATAAAGACAGCAAATAATAGAGAGGTCTGTGGTGGAGTGTGCACGTCACGCTATGTGTGGGCTTGAAATGCCTGCAACGCACAAGCAATAAGCAAAAACAGTTTCAGCACTTTGAGGAACTACGTGTCCTATAATTTGGGGTTGGTACCTAATTATGAGCTCATGCATAGGATGCTTGATGTCCTCCAGGCAATCACCAGAGATGTATAAAAGCAATCTGCATTAAGTCTTTCTATCCACTTCTCTCAACCTTGCTCACCTTCGTAAATTGGGTAAGTCAGATTTCTCTCAAACTTCTCTAAGAGTAACTTGCTGTCAAGAACTCTTTATTTTAACTTAGGACCAAGTCCTCTTCAGTTACTGCCAAGCTGCCAGTGGTCTGTAGATTATTTGATGCTGAAATAATATTTGGTTTCTCATTTGTTACTGGGTCCTGTAAAGACAAGCTCCAGAAGAAGGGTATATCAAGCAGTTTTGAATGCCAAACTTGTAACATTTTAGTGCTTCAAAGAGTTCCTTGACTATTTTAAAAGATTAAGAATAGTTCATGTACATGGTTGTATGTGTCTGCATTTAGCAGGGTTCTGCAGAGTTTGCAACAGGAAAGATCAAACTTACTAAGTAGAAAACATAAAAACTATCTCATATCTAAATACCAAATATACAGTTGAAAAGCAAATGATGTGAGGATGACAAAATCAAAATTAGCCTCCACATTACAGTGCTAGGTGGAATAGCAATAGAAAATAGGTTTTCATCCCAGATTTATGACAGATGCCCTCTTGGACTGCTTTATCATAATCTAATGTTTGATATTTTTTAATGTTAACGTAAATGACCATGTTTTATAGACTGACCTCCATCCCTACGAGATGTCTTGCTACGACCTGGTCTCCAGCTCTGCCTGTGGCATTGCCCGCCCCCAGCCCCTCGCTGACAGCTGCAATGAGCCGTGTGTCCGTCAGTGCCCTGATACCACTACTGTGATCCAGCCACCATCCCTCTTCTGTGCCCCGCCCCCCTCCAGTGGTCGTCACCTTGCCTGGCCCCATCCTCAGCTCTTTCCCCCAGGATTCAGTTGTGGGATCCTCTGGAGCACCCGTGCTTGAGGGCTATGGTGGCCTTGGAGGCTATGGCTCCCTCGGCTATGGGGGCTATGGCTATGGGGGCTATGGTGGCCTGGGAGGCTATGGAGGTCTCTATGGCTATGGGGGCTATGGCTCCCTGGGCTACAGTGGTCTGTATGGCTATGGGGGCTCTCTGGGTTACAGGGGCCTGTATGGTTATGGTAGATCCTATGGGTCTGGCTCTTGCAGCCCCTACTCCTACCGGTT